CTTTGACTGAAGATTGCTACCATTTCTGTTTTGTTCTTTCTTCGGTGCTGGAAGTCCAAGGTGAGCTCAGTTGCTGCTCCAGTTGCCATATCTGCTGTGTGCTGCCTCATGCCATGTCCCAGCCATCATGAACTCTGTCTGGAATAGTGAGCTCAAACCAACTTCCCTAAGTTGCCTAGCCCGTGGTGTTTTATCGTTGCAGCAGAAAAGTTGTTAATACACCTTGCCTTGTGAAGAAGAAGAAAAGGAGGAGGAGGAGAAGGAACAAAGGAGGGAAAAGGGAAATAAGGAAGGAAGGGAAGGAAGAGAGAGAGAGAGAGAGAGAGAGAGAGAGAGACAGAGACAGAGACAGAGACAGAGACAGAGAGAGAGAGAGAGGAGAAGACTACTCTTCATTAAAAGGGTTAAGAGTGCTCACTGAAGTGTTAAATGGTGGTTATGTCTGTAATTACCAAGGAAGTAGGTGGGAAAGTGGTAACTAAAACTAGATTTGTTCTACAAAACATGACTTTTTAAAACCAAGGCCATATTGATTAATACTTTCTTTTTAATTATTACTGAGGATTGAACCTAGAACCTCCATGCACTGGAGTCAAGCACTCTACTACTGAGCTACAGCCTCAACCCTTCATTAATGATTTCTGTGTTAAAAAAAAATCAAAGCCAGGCATGATGGTGCATCCCTTTAACCCCAGCACTCAGGAGGCAGAGACAGGCAGATCTCCATGAGCTTGAGGCCAACCTGGTCTACAAAGTGAATTCTAGGCCAGCCAAAGATGCAGAGTAAGACTCTAGCTTAAAAATGGAAAACAACAACAGCAAAAAAACCTTCAAATAAAGGAAATAAGTTTTTGTATCTTGAAAGCACAATTCATGGCATGACGAAATTGTAGCTTTTTGTCTTTCATAATCCATTTAAAATTACTCAATTTATTTCCCTTTCACATTACCTTCCTCAAAAGGTGGCCCAAGACACAGCATAGTTGGCATCAGTCGGAGCTTGGAAGACGTGCAGACTCTCAGGCTCCACCCACACCCACTGAATCATAACCTCTATTTTATTTACACAAGAGCCCAAAGTGACACATGGGTAAGGATTGCAAAGATCAATGGTGTTGCTGCTTCCATCAGTAGTGCACAGCCCGGTCATGAGCTTAGGCCACTGTCACAGATACTGTCAAGACATAAATTATAACCCCAATCTTAGATGGTAACACATCCAACCCTTATTCGGAGATAAGTGTCTGTCCTTTTATCCTGGGAAGGTCGTGTCTCCAGGGAACATGGAGGCTCCTTGTTCCCCAGACATACACATTTTCTCTATTGTTCCTCCTCCTGTTTGCATCTCTTTCCTTTGCTTCTCACCTTTGCAAAAGGAAGAGGAAAGGAGGTAAAGGAGAGGATGGGCAAAAGAGTAGCAGGATTTTATAATTCTGTTTGGTTGGGTGAATTCCTGCTCTCTGAGCTTGGCACATGGCAAATACCAGCTCTTCCTAGGGATACTTTTGCAGCCATTTTGGCAGTTTTTACTTTTGGCAAATACTTTCTTACCGGATTATGGCGGATGCATCTGCCCTCCAGTTGTTTGTACATCTTCCCTCAGCCCCTAAAAATCAAGACGGAAGTCCACGATTTTTGGTGCCTTTTCTGCCTGTCCTGGGGCTATATTGCATAAAAATCAAGACACGCATTTTTCTCTCTGCAGTGATCTTAGGGCTCCAGGATGCTCTGAGGTGTGGGCTGATTCCCAACGAGGTTTTTCTGTCCTACAGCCATAGCTTACTTCAGCTTCCTAGGGCCTAAATCAGATTCGCTTCCCCACTGTACCTCTCAACTTCAGGGGACATATTTCAGACTTGTGTGGCTGACCCCATGAGCTCTTTTCCATTTGGCTCAAGGAGCAGACAGCCCATTTCCCACTCTTCCTCCACGTGAGGGAGAACTGTGGCAAAAACAAAAAACTCTTCACAAACCCTCTCTCCCATATCCCACCCCTGCCCTGCCTCCCTGTGGTTTCAACCATTTCCTTTGTAGATTCTAAATCGATGAGCTAGCATCAGTGAAATATCACTGTCTGCATCCCGTCACAAGTGCAACTGCTTAATTGTAAAAACTAAAGATAAAATTTTGCTTGCATATTTTATTTGCCTCAGACTTGGCCATCTGGATAACTGTTGCCAATTGTGGGTCTCACATTTTCAATCAAATGCAGGTTAACTGGAGTGCTCCGGATACTGGGGCGACTGGGATATACAGGATGAAGGGGAGTTAGAAAGAGTTGAAACTCTAACAAAGAGTTGGGGGGAAAAGGAAACCTAGTCATGAGCCTAAGCACTGTTATATCAGGGGTTTCTCTGGAATGGCATCCCCTTCCCTCTGAGCCCTTCTAATGGGTAGGGAACCATTCCCTGTCTTAACTGACTCTGTTATATTGCTTTACCTATTCTCACTCTTTGGGTCATTTCTCCTTCCAAGTTTGCTTCAGATTTCAGAAACAGAAAAGGCCTGTAGGCAAATTCCCTGTGGCATAGCTAATAAGTAGGCTTGGTGGTGGATACCTGCAATTCCAACACTGAGGAGGCAGGGACAAGAGGGTCAGGGAGTTGGAGGTAAAGCCTGCACATTGTACTGAGTTTCAGGCCATTGGGCGACAAAGAAAAATAATACTGTCTCAAAGCAAACAACAAACAAAAAAATGTGTGTGGGGGGATGCTCTAAGACATTCACTGCAGCCCAATTTAAAATGGAAAAATTTAGAAACACTCTATCAGTCTACCTATAGTGACTAATGGAAGTGATCTCTCTAGAAAGTGATTTCTAGAATACCATCCCCTTTTGGGATCCTAAGTACTGAATACCTTTAATAATTGAAGAACTCATTTATTTGTCTGCTCCTGTAAGATTCTGTTATTGCCCTGGTTTTCAGAATGAAGAAGCTCAGAAGCTCAGGCCTGCACAGCCCTCCCACACAGGACAGGGCAGGTCTACTCAAAGGCGGAGAACACGAAAGATGACACTGTGCTGGGAAAATGACAAGGGGTCAGTGTGACAGAGGGCTGGTCAAATGCTGAGAGCTGGCACTCCAACCTAGAGGATCTTGTTCAAGCTCTTACACACAAAAATGTAAATGTCAAACGTGGTGAGGAATAATGGACTTCCATAAAGATGAGAGACACCGAGGAAAGGCAGAAACATCGAGTAAGGCTGAGATGATAATGACAGAGCCCTTTTTGTCATCAAATAGAACACTTTTGGGGTCCACGCCTACTGCTATCTGGTATGGGAAGTGGCAGGTTTGAGTTTGAGGTCTGAGGATGCCCTCTGGACAGCCAGGGATAGCTGGCTTCTGTTTCCCAGAATTCATGCTAGGACCGAAACAGAGGCAGAATGCAGCCACAGCTGTCATTTCCTTGGCACAGGCATCCTGAGAGATCCTGACAGACACCAAAGGCCTTCCCTCCCATGTGAGAATTTGGGGAAAGAACTCAAAGGCTATGTCATGAACAGGGCATACAGTTTTCGTCTTCTACATAGGGTAAACTGGGCTGTGAGTGATTTGAATTTTTGTCCAAAAGTTTTCTATCCTCCTTACTGTCTCCCTCCATCATTAGCTTTAAATAGAGGCAGGTGGCAGGATGGGAAAATGTGGCTTATTGTTTATGATCTAACAAAGCTTGCCTGGAGTTCAGAATGCAAAGCTAGTCACAGCCATAGAAGCTGGGCAGTGGTGGCACACACCTTCAATCCCAGGATTTAGGAGACAGAGGCAGATGGATCCCTGTGAGTTCAAGGCCACTCCGTGCTACCTGAGAGTGAATCAGTCTAAAAGAGACACAGAGTTCATGTCTTTAACCCCAGCACTAGAGAGGTGTATAAGATAGGAGGGCATTCAGACTTCAGACTTGGCAGTCAGTCTCTAGTCACCTCGAGGGCAGGATCTCCCCACCCTTGGTAAAGGTAAGAGCTCTCTGGTGGCCAGCTGCTTTGCTTCTCTGATCTTCAGCTTGAACCCCAATATCTGTCTCTGGGTTTTTATTATTCGTGCTCCAGGAAAATGAAAGTTGAGGTTGTCAGCAAAGATTACTGAAGGAGAAGCTGGCCCACTGCCTCTGACCAACTCATTTAATTTTTGTTGTTGTAGTGGTTGTTGTTGGTGGTGTTTTCTTTCTTTTTTATTTTTTTGTTGGTTTGCTTGTTTGTTTTATTTTTGAGGGAAAGGCTCATTATGTAGCCATGACCTGGAACTCAGTATGTAGACCAGGCTGGTCTTGAACCCTTGGAGATCTGCCTGCTTCTGCCTCTCAGGGATTTAAGGCAAGCACCCCCACACCCAGAAGACTAAAAATTATTAATTTGATTACTAAGCCTCTTGGAATTGATGGTAGCTGCTTCCTGTGTAGGTCAGGATCCTGACACCTTAGGGGAAAAAAAGTTAGAAGAGAGAAAGAGCCTGGGCACTGAAAAAAAGGCCGAGGGGAGAGGGGTTTGCATTAGACATTGTAGCTCAAGTGTCTAACCTAGGGGTATGAACATTCCTCCTTAGAATTAGGCACATGTCCCCTGACTGCCACAAGGGAACCACCGTGAGTACTCTTGGGCAAGCACACACATTAAATAGTAATCAATAAAAAATGTAAAAGCATGTCGGTTGTGGTTAATTGCTCAGAGGGAAATTCGCACATTACTGGGAATCTTTGGAGCAGAATGAAGAATGGGAGAGTAGAGTTGATATTGATTCTTAGCCTTCACTGGGAAGCTCAAGCCAGGAGGGTATGATCCTGAAATAGAGTAAGTCGGTAGCAGAGTACACTTAGTATGGCCTGCCACTCAGCTGCTCCAGAGTGCCTCTGTCTGGTTACATGGGGACAAGGGGTGCCTCTGGGTAAGTCTGGCACAGAATCTGACCCTTATAGCCAGAAATGAGAAGTGCACACTAAAATCTTTCCCTAAGATGAAATCATACACCGTATTTTGAAGATACATAAACTCATTAGTTAATAGGAGTTTGAAAGTTGTTTTAATATTAGAGTTATTTCTTTCTGAATAATTACAACTTGACTCTAAAAGTGTTCTAAAGTGCTCATTAACCTCAGTGAATTCCATTACAAACCAAACAAAACAAACTCACCTATGCTGGAATGTGTACTTCATTTCTATGAGGTCTAAATTCTCTTGTAGAGTGTTAGCTGCTCAATAGTAAACAACAGCTGTCTACTTCTCTATGGAACAAAGAGCAAACAGAGAGGGTGTTTGTGTTTACAAACTACTCTGCAAGGTCGAAATCGCCTACAATCTAGTAAGGTGGAAATCCACAGCACCACACTTAAGGGGCGTTTCTTTAAAAATCACAGGAGCACAAGGGACATCAACAGATGTGTCTCCGGCTTGCAAACGAGCTGACGAAGGGAAGATCCAGGAGCAACCATCCTGTAAGGAAGACACTAGATGTCCACTCCACCCTGGACGACAGTGGTCTCCGGGGTTCCTGGGCTCACAGAAACCTGAGAATTGGGTGTCTCAGGGGTCTCTGTAAGCTCTCGGAAGGCCTGTGGGTCCTTTAATCCCAGGACCACCTGGTTCAGAAGCCCTTTGAGCAGCTGCATCTCGCGAAGCAGAAGGTCCACCTTGCGCTGCAGAACTTCGCGGGACTGTTCCACGGACGTGGGCAGAGGGGCACAGACGTGTGGCCCGACAGTGGGGACGTGGCCCGCGGGGAACTGCAGCCCCGCAAACGTGCTGTTCGGGACGGAAGTGACTGACGGGACGGATCTGGACACCGGGGTCTTCCGGAAGGAAAGTGGCTTGTCCCCGGGCACCAAGGCCTGTAGGGCCGGCGCAGTGGTGGACGCTAGATCCAGGGCAGAGCCTGCAACACAACACGCCTGGTCACCCGTGACTGAAATCGTTGTCCCTGGGGGCGGGAGCTGGCGGGGCTTGCGTGGAGAACTGAGATGGAAGGTGGGAATTCTGCGAGAGGACCACGGGGTTCAGGAGGCAGAGCACCCGCAGTGCTGAGCTGTCACTCACCCCGCCCGGGGAGCTGCAGCCAGGGGCTACGTTTCCGGACACTACGACTAGTCGTGGCGGCCTCGCACCAGTACGATTCGAGCTCCTCGACCTCGGGCTCGGGGACCGTGTACTCGGGGCCCCAGTCGAAGCGGCGGACTGGCCGGCTGTACTTGTAGAAGGCGAACTGCAGCGGCGTGTCCCGCTTCTGCGGGTGCAAGCGCGTCTCGCAGCGCAGCACCACGCGACCGCGCGCCTCCGGCGGGCTCAGCGTCCTGAGCACCGGTGTCTGGAACAGCTCTGCAGGGAAGGCGGCCAGGAGGCCCGGATGCTCACTGAGTCCGCTCGAGGAATGGTACCCAACCAGGGCCAACCTGTCTACTGTCCCGGGTCCCACTCTTTGCCTTTTCCAAGAGGGCTCCAGAGAACAAGAAGGGATGGGAGAAAGAGAAGATTTGGGACGCAGAGACTGAGGCCACAGGGAGGGGGAGGGAAGACGGGCAGGGGGGGGGTGCGGGGAGGGCAGGAGAATGGGAACAGGTGAAGGGAGGAGGATGCTATAACTTGCATCCTAGCTGGCAATCAGTTAGCATTCCTAGACTTAAAGGTGATAGCTGCGGTCCCTCTTCGTAGTGACAAAGCACGCCCTCAGACAGAGCAAGAACTCATCACTCCTAAGTGGGATCCCTAGCTAGAAAAAGAAGCCTGGAAGGGACACCTGACTAAAAAAACACTGCAATTCCTCCTAATTCCAGCGATCGCCTCTCCCACCTTGCACAGTGACAGCCACCTTGGAGGAGAACATGGGCGCGCTCTCCACTGGGATACGCATGGTACCAGAGCACTGGTAGTGACCGCTGTCACTAGATCGTGCCTGTAACACCGTGTAGTTGGTACTGGAATGGAAGTATCTCACGGCCTGGCCATCATGGTAGTAGTGAAGCTTGTAGACGACTTTGTCATACCAGCCACGACAGCGCATCACCAGGGGCTCTCCCTCGAACACAGGAGCATAAGGCACTTGCAGAATTAGCCAGTCTGCAACAGAGCCCACAGACACTATTTACTCATTAGAAAAACCAACTCGGCGGGGGGCAGTGGAGTTCACCTTTAAATCCCAGCACTCCCCGGAGGCAGAGGCAGGAGGATCTCTGTCAGTTCTAGGCCAGCCTGGTCTTACACAGTTCCAGGACAGCCACGACTGTCCCACAGAGAAACCCTGCCTCAAACCTAAGCAAGAAAACCAGCTCTGCAGGTCTCCCCTTCTCAGCTTCCCTTAACCACCTTCCACCTTCCCCAGCCCAACTCCTGGCACTGCTCAGGCCACCAAACCCCTTTCCTATTATCCTGGCCTGCTGATTAACACCTGGGATCCTCATGGTGCAGAAAACTGAAAAGGAGAAAAAAAAAAAAAAAAGGGTACCAGGGGGGCAAAAATGCTTCTGATTTGCTCCAGGCTCTAACAGCCTCTTTCAGAATCAAGCTTAGACCCCACAGTACAGCTTCGAGACCTCCCTGACCTAGACCCTGGTAACCTTTCCCGTGCCCTGAGTTTCTTTTTTACCCACCTCATTGCTTAATTCCACAGAAGCCAGGCCGGGTCACACTGAACTGCTCAGAAAGCTGACTCTACACAGGGCCCAGGGTCTTCATAAAGCTATTTCCTAAGCTCAAAAGAACCCGCCTCTCGGCTTAAATTGAGTCCTACAGGCCCTGCATGCCTGTGTTTAGGCCTTTATCTCCTGAAGGAAACATCTTTGAGAACAGCCTTAGGTATCTCCTACAGCCCTGTATATACACAGTTGCTGCCACCACCACAACCGCCGCCACCGCCACCACAATGCTTAACTATCCTTAGCACATCCTAGATGCCATTTTAGGTATTAGACATTTTGAAATTATTTATTTATTCCTTCATTGGTTTGGCATTAGGTGTCCATGCCTGTGTCTATATGGGTGTGTCCTCTTGAGTGCAGGTGCCGGAGGAGGCCAGAAGAGGGTGCCATATCCCCAGGATCTGGAGTTACAGGTGGTTATGGCCTGATGTGGGTGCTGGGAACCCAACTCCAGTTCTCTGCAAGAGCAGTATGCATGCTTAACCACTGAGCCGTCTCTCCAGCACCAGTTTTTAGGTATTATACTCTGAAAGAGAGTCCTGCAGGCCAGGTGTGTTGGTGCATACCTGTAATCCCAGTCCTTGGAAAGCAGAAGCAGGAGGACTGAAAGCCAAGGCATGCCTGGGCCTCATATGGAAACCCTGTTCCCAAAAAACTTTTTAAAGCATAGTCACAGTTTCTGTGCCACTCTCAGCCTGTCAGCTATGGCCACTGTCTGTGGGCATCCCTGCTTCTGCATGGCCTTAAACAGGAAACCTCTAGATGTATTAATCTGAACATCAACCAGAGTTCTTTAGATACTTAATAAAAATGGCTGTCTGTGAAGTTAAGGTCATCAATCTTCCACATGTATACACAATCGTGTATCTTTTTTTAAAATTTATTATGTATATAGCACATGTCTGTATGCCGGCAGGCCTGAGGAGGGCACCAGATCTCATTACAGATGGTTGTGAGCCACCATGTGGTTGCTGGGAATTGAACTCAGGACCTCTGGACTGTTATCCTCTAAGCCATCTCTCCAGCCCCACAATCATGTGTCTTAATGAGTACATTTTTAAATTACTTTTCCTATCCTGTCTTTTCGTGATTTCATTTATTTGTTTGTTTTAACACAGGATACCCTGGCTGGGCTGCAGATTTGCAGTTATCCTTCTGCCTCTGCTTCTAGAGTGCTGGAATGGCAGGTATCGCCACCACACCCAGTTTTCCCATCCCTGTTTTGAAACCCTTCAGATCTTCTCAGAGTTAGTTTCTCAATCGACTCCTGGGTGCTAATGTATACATACCAACAACAAAAGTTTTATTAAGTTCTTTGTTCAATTACCTTGCCTGCCTTCCTCTTTTCCTTCTTCCCTCTACTCTTCCCCTTTCCCATTTCTTTCTCTTTCTCTTATTTCATTCTTTATATATATATATATATATATATATATATATATATATATATATAAACATTTTGAGACAGAATATTACTATACTGCCTAGATAGTTCTCAAACTGTGGCAATTCTCCTGCCTCAGCCTCATGAATTTGAGATTACAGATATGTACTACCATGCCTGGCTACCTTTTTCTTTTTTTAAAGATTTATCTAAATCTTAAATATATATACATATACAGTGTTCTGCCTGCATGTATACCTACAGAGGGGAACACCACATGGAATTGAACTCAGGAACTTTGGAAGAGCAGGCAGTGTGCTTAACCACTAAGCCATCTCTCCAGCCCCTCTCTTTTTTTTTCTTTCTTTCTTATTTTTTTTAACATCACAAATAAGCAGAGAAACCCTGTCTCAAGTTGGGCTTTGGTGGCGCACGCCTTTAATCCCAGCACTGGGGAGGCAGAGGCAGGTGGATCTCTGTGAGTTCGAGGCCAGCCTGGTCTACAGAGCCAATTCCAGGACAGCCTCCAAAACAACACAGAGAAGCCCCCTGTCTCGAAAAACCAAAATAAATAAATGAATGGATGAATAAATAAATAAATAAACCCTGTCTCAAAAGGAAATGAACAAACAAAAATATCACAAATAAATAACTTTCATTGTAGCATTGATTTTCAAACAAAAAAAAAGTTGTTTCTTCCTCTTCATCTCCATTCCATTCCCCCTCTCTTCCTTGTACCCTACCATTTCCAATAGCTTTTTTTTTTAAACTATGAATACTCACATGTTGCCTCGGCCTTTGGCACCTTACCCCTCCATTTCTCAGCACCTCTTGGTCTCCTATCTAATATTATGAAATGCATCCCATTCTCAAATCTCTTTATTTACACACACAAAAACATTAAAAGTTATAATCTTGGCTGAATGTGGTGGCACACACCTTTAATCCCAGCATTTAGGAGGCAGGTAGATCTCTGTGAGTTCAAGGCCAGCATACCTAGGTTAGTAAGTGAGACCCTGTCTCAGGAAAACAAAATAAACAAGCAAAAAGGACCCTGGTTGGGTGTGATGGTGCATGCCTTTAATCCCAGCACTCAAGAGGCAGACACAAAGGAATCCTTGTAAAAAAGCCAACCTGGTCTACATAGTAAGTTCCAGGCAGAGAGAGAGAGAGAGAGAGAGAGAGAGAGAGAGAGAGAGAGAGAGAGAGAGAGAGAGAGGATTCCAGTAGAGTAGTATGGGAGAGTGCAACTTTTGATGTCCTGAAACTGGGTCACCTCACTTAATATATTAATAATATTTGTTTCATGCTCCACCACAAAGACAAGGGAGACCTTGGGGCCAGGAAAACTTTACTGCAGGCCTCTGCGTACTCTAAAGACTCAAGGTGGGACCATGTGGCCTTTTTCTCTTGTCCCTTGAGAACAGCCTGGTGTCTGCCCTGCCAGGAAGGTCAAGGAAGCAACACAGTGCATTCTCCTCCGTCCATGTTCGGTCACTCACCGTTAGACACAGAGAGGTGGATGGGGTCACTGACAGGTGCCCCCCGTGTCTGACATCGGTACACCCCTGGTGTCTGCACCTCAATGGTCTTCTTGTGGGAAGGCAGGAGGACATGGCCCAGATACCAGAGAGTGCTAATAGGTCGGAGCTCTAGCAGCAGAGGGTGGTAACCATCACATCGCAGTGTTACTCGCTCCCCCTTGAAGACTGTAGTCCAAGGTGGGTGTAGAGACAATACGGGCTTCTCCAGAGTAGCTGGGGGTGGGGATGTGAGGAAGAAAAGTAAGGTAGGATGCGTGCCCAAAAATGAAGCCTGAGTGTGAATTCTTGGAAAACACCAGTTTCTGGGGCCCAGTTTGCACATGAACCCACCCTGGCAATAAGGGAGACCACAGTCATGGGGCTCCAAACAAGGAATCTATTAATCAGAACCCGTTTCTGCGTGTCTTAGTCAAGAAGACTTAGTCACCAAGATTGAGCAACAGTAGGGGGAAAGCACCATCTCGGAACAGCCAGGGACTGGGGCGTCTACCCTAGTGGAACTTAACGGAACTTGGATGAGAGATGTAGAAGACTCACCAGCCTGTCCACTGCTCGGAACTGCAAAAGCAAGAGCGAAGGTAGAAGTGAGGATGGCTCTCTGTGACAGGAAGGACGCCATCCCAGGACAGACTGAATAGTCTCAAAGCCTGTTTCCCTTTGTCCACACCAAATCACCTGGCTTTGATAAGATTGCCTCAATCTCATCCTTCCAAAGCAGAGTTTGAACCGCCTGAAACCGGAGGTCTGCATAGCCAGACGGCTTATCCCACCTACCCTGCCCTGTCTTCCTCTCCTCCCCCAAACCTGCTGATGCCGCCTCATTACTAACTCACCCAGAAGCAGGAGGGCTGCAAGCGTCCACATGACGAGTCTGCCTGGAGCAACTGTAGAAGACTGAGGGTTCCCTAGCATGGGAGAGGGACACAGAGAAAAAGGGGCAGCTAGTAGCTGATACTGAGAAGCGGGGGACACTGTTGCTTCTTCTGTCCATTCTTACTTCCTGAAGATGGTGGAACAGAGAAAGCAGGACACCTCCTGAGTGTGCCACTCGCTTATCCCTAGCATCAGACACTGTCCCCGCTACTGCCTCTGCGGCCACGTCCCAGCTCAGTCCAGCCTTGACGTCTATAGAGCTGCGCCTTCTACAGCACGCGAGAGCCGCACAGAACCTCAGGCTCCAACAGGTGCTATGGATATCTCACCCCCACTCCATCCTTTCCCCACCAGCCGGCCCTGTTGCTGCTCACAAAGCCCGTCTTGTTTCTGCTTAATCCCAGAAAGGTCAATGTTGAATTCCTTGAAGCAGAGCTCACATCCCCCCTCCCCCAAAACGAGTAACCAGAAAGGAATGATTCAACCATGCTGGCATGCCCCTGGTGATCTGTTGTTCCCCAGTCAAAACTAGAAGTGTAGTGTGATTTCTCCTCCTCCTTTCCTGGAATCTGACGCCCTCAGAAGTTAGGGAAGTCTCCTTCCCTTCCCGCCCACAGGGATCTCACCTTATAGCACCCCTACTCACTTGTTCCTTCCTTCTTTCCTTCCACCAGGCCCTAATACCCTTCCCCACGTGTGTCCTGGTTCTCAGGACTTGTGGCCTGGAAGAATAGTCACTACCTCAGCCTCTTCAAGGCTTCTCAGATCAGACCTCTCTGCTCTGGTTCTCCCCAACTCTGAGCCATGTGACCACACCTGAGCAATGAGGAGCCTGAACTTCTATGTAAATACTTAATGAAGTTTCCAACCTGATACTATGTCTCCCTGAACTCTATCCTGTCCACACTTGCAGCTGTTTAGAACCAGGACACCTGCTGTCCTTGGAACTCTAGCAGGAAGGAGATGAATGGTCAGATATGGTCAGCTCTCCAAGATCGCATCCTCTAATTTTGCTAATGCACCAAGAGTTCCTCTGAGAATTCCCTAATATTGCAGTGCAATGTGTTTTTCCATCTTAAAATACAAATGTCTCCGAGGAAAGTGTAGTAGGTTGTTTAAACTGTGCTGACCGTTTTGGATCTTGCTTTGGGAGCAGGATTTGATGGGGAGAGTTAATATGTAGGTCTGAGAAGCAGGGAAATATTCTGTAAGGTGAGCAAGGGGGTGTGGGGACACCAGACCTTGAGTAGAGACCCACTTCCCCTTCCGCCTGGGAGTAGGCAGCTGTAAGACAATGTTTACTAAAAACATGTTTACTAAAAACAATACAATGCCCGGGGCAATAAGTTCCTGGAAAAGGCCTGCCCACGGAAACCGCCCTGACCTCGACCTTGTCCAAAGACTAACCGCCTCTTCTGGCACGCCCAGATCAGTTTTTGGTGTCAGAGTAGAACCAGACAGGGTAGAGGAGAGAGCAGAAGCTTCTCTGGAGGGAGCCTTTCTTAGGAAGTTTTCTTGAACCTTTTTGGGGCCTGCTTAAAGTTTTCTTTACATCGTTGAACGAGTCTCTGTGTTGTCAATCCCCGACACCCTCCGCACGTTCTCGGACACAGGCTGCAGACGTGACAAGGGGGAAGAAACAGAGAGCGGACATGAATGTCCTGTTGGGCAGTGCTCCTATGCTTCCCTGAACCCTGGCTGCCTCCTCATCTTGTCTCCTAATCTTGGGACCAGTGTGAGACTCTTCATATCAACCACAGCCTCTCCCATGGTCTGACTTCTGCACAGCCCACTACCTCTGTGGTAAGAGTGCAACACATTTGTCAGCTGTCCTAGTAGCCTATACAAGTGGACTCTATTTTGGCTTCTCATAAGCCAGAACAAAGATATCAACCCCTTTACTGGATTCCAGAATCCAGATCACACCAAAAAACATGTGCTATGTTCTTTTTCTTGAATTCCTAGGAATTGGCTACAGAGTTCATTAACCACACAGGGAACGCTCAGAGTTTGACCCGAAAAGTACCCTGCCCAACACTTGTTTATTCTATGCTTTTCTCCAAATTTCTCCTAAGTGGGTCTTTTTCTCTATGCAGGAGTAATTCTTTACTCCTTTGTACTTTGCCAAGTCCTTTAATATGCAGACAAATTTGGAAATTTTTGTTACTTAGGGTTTTGTTTTTCCTTTTTAAGGGCCTTGCCATCCTGTTCAGCCTAGTCTCAAACTCTAAAGTGAGCTAAAGTGTTCCTCTTTCCCCCAGACCTCTGTGTGGTGGGACAACAGGCATGTATCACCATACTGGGTTTGACTTCTTTGAAGTCTGTCACAGCATAACTTCCTGGAAGATATGCCATTATCTGAGAGGACTGTGGTGTGTAGCATGCTCTCAGAGAGGATGTGACATAATGAGAACAGCTCACCATTAGGGAGTGCGCCAGTGTGTGACAGGTACCAAGTTAATGCTTCACAGATGGAAAATTACTTAGTTCATGCCTCAAGGGAGGTCTTGTGGGAGGGATTATTACTAGTGCTGTTTTACATGTGAGGGAACTGAGTGACAGAAACCAGGGATGCTTGAGGAGAAGCTCACTCAAAGATCTGTTCTCAAGTCCATCTCTCGTTAGGGACCCACAGTGCTGCACAGGGAAAATGGTTGTCTTCAGTCTTCCTAAGTAATCATTTCCTTATTTTCACACTGCCACTCTTTTCCTCTACATATTGGCACCTACCATATAATGTTTAATGGTGTGTGTGTGTGTGTGTATTCTATTTTTTAATGTTTAATGTTTAAGTCTGTTTTGTCTGCATGAACGGTGGGTGCACCAAGTGCATACTTAGTGCCCGCAGAGGCCAGAAGAGGGTGTCAGATCCCATGGAACTAGAGTTACAGAGGGTTGTGAGCCACCATGTGGGCATTGGGAATTGAACTTAGGTCCCCTGGAAAAGCCGAGCCATCTCTCCATCCCCTACATGTATGTATGTATGTATGTATGTATGTATGTATGTATGTTCCCCTACATGTATGTATGTATGTATGTATGTATGTATATATATGTATATATATTGAATCTAAGGAAATATTTAGCATTACTAACTTACATAAATGGTGCATTCTAACTGTTGTTTTTCTTTATTTAAAATTAATTCCATGGAAATTTCATTCCTGTTGCTCTACATGCATCATGTTAACTGCTACATGTGTCCACCAGGTGGTACCTGTCCATTCCCTAATGCCCTGGTTGCTTCCCAATTCTCCGCTCCTATAATCAATGCTACAGCGAACTTCTTGGGTGCATACTGTGAGGGCTGAATGAAAGAAGTAGGACTTGGAACCCTTAGAAAGCAAATTGGCACATAGTTCTTATACCTCCTATGCCCAGGCCTTGGAACCCTTAGAAAGCAAATTGGCACATCGTTCTTATACCTCCTATGCCCAGGCCTTGGAAACCTTAACCCTTAGAAAGCAAATTGGCACATAGTTCTTTTTTTTTTTTTTTTTTTTTTTTTTTTGGTTTTTACGAGACAAGGTTTCTCTGTATTGTTTTGGAGGCTATCGGTCCAGCCCGGTCTCGAACTCACAGAGATCCGCCTGCCTCTGCCTCCGGAGTGCTGGGATTAAAGGCGTGCGCCACCACCACCCGGCCGGCACATGGTTCTTATACCTCCTATGCCCAGGCCCTTCCTGGAAATATCCTCACAGATCCATCCAGAAGGAGGGCTCTTAGTTGATTCAAGATCTAATCGAGTAAACAACCAAGCAGCATCCTCACACCCTTGAAGATACTGGGAGCCACTATAAAATTCATTTACCATCATTGTGATCCTAGTTCTTTGTTTCTTTGTAGTATATCAAAAATGGTCATGTATGTGTTTGTTGTAAATTATTTCAGGCTACAACATAAAGAAGAAAACAATAGCACAAAGAGCGACCACAGTGGGAACACAACTCTACGTAATGCAGGATAACATTCATTCACTAAGGCCATAATCACATGATGTTATGAATTCATCAACCAAAGATTATATTAACAAAGGTTACTGCATAATTTGTCAGGCTAGCTCTTCTCATTTGAGACTGGACAATTCTACTGTCCAAATGTAGAACGAAGGAGAGTGACTGTGATTAAAGTCCTGGAAAGTGTCAGACAAATAGCTGAAGTTCTTACAGAGAAGCGAACACATTGCCTTGAGACAGTAGAGAATCTGTTGTAGGGAGAGATTTCTCCCAAGTGCCTGAAGAAAGGCGATCTAAAAAGAAAGAAGCTCCTGGGGGGGCACTGCTGGAAAAGGGCAGGGTAGGGAAGTGTTGTTCTAGATTGAGCCATCCACTGCAATCTTGATAAAAGGGAGCCTCCCAGCTGTCAGCAGAGCTAAGTGCTGTCTACATGGTGCAGGTTTTGCAGGCATGCAGTTACAGGGGTCATGAAGGCTTGCATTGAGTTTCCAGATAGAAGTCTGTGAAGTAAGGCAATACATACCACGCATGGTCAGATTCCCTGTAGACAGTCCCTGAGTAGGTTATGTGTAAGGCTGCGAAGGTGAAACCTAATTGTAACGGAGACCTCCGGATGTTGGAGATGCCAGACGTGGAACATCTGCCAAGAAAAGATGCAGGCACCAAGTGGACCTGACCAAAGAGAGAGCCCACGTGTGCGTCAGGTATCGGGACCAGGGCAGGGCTCCCTAAGGCCACCGAGACTCACATTATGCCTACACATGCCCTGGATGCTGGAAATGGGGTGTGGTGGTTTAAGTGAGATGTCCCCTGTAGCCTGGGCATTGCGTACTTGGTCCCTAGTGGGTGGTTGTTTGGGGAGACTTAGAAGGTGTGGTCTTGCTGGAGGAAGTATGTCACTGGGCAGGCTTTGATGTTCACATGACTCATGACATTTTGAGTTCACTCTCTCTGTTTCCTGCTTGAGGTCTCAGCTATCCCTGCCACTGTGGCTGTGCTTGCTGCTGCTTCCCTGCGATAATAGCTGTGGTCTCTTATTCCTCTAGAACCGCAAGCCCCAAACAAATCCTTTATTCAGAAGTTGCCCTGGTCATGGTGTTTGATCACAGCAATAGAAAAGTAACAGAGACACGGTGCTATAGGACTTAGCATTTGCTCCACTGAGGTTTAGTCATTCTTTGGTCCAGTCTTTCCTTGCTTCCTCGTTTTGGGATGGGAATGTTTATTATGTGTCGTCATCTATTGGAAACATGTTTTTCAGGGGTTCACAGTTACGTGTTTGCTTTGGGTCTCAAAGGAGACTTGAGACCTTCGAATAGCGTTGGGACAGTTAAAACTATAGAGACTTTTGAAATTAGACTGAATGCACTTTGCATTATAAGATGGCCATTAGCCTCCGGGGCCACGGGTGAAATGTTAGGTTCATGCTTTGGATGTTTGATGCTTACATTTGGCACAGCTTTGCAGGCTGTGGAGCCTCTTAGGAGGAGGAGCATACCTGCCAGAGTTAAATCACAGGGGTTAGACCCCGGCTTTTTCTTTATTGCCTAGCAAGATGTGAGCACACACTCTTACCACCAGGGACTGCTGGTCTTTCTGCTGTGCTTCCTTGTCGTGATGGGCAGCAACCCTCTGAAACTGTGAGCCAAGGTCAGCCTTCCCTCCTTATCTTGTTTCTGGCATTCATTTTGATCAAAGTGTACAAAAGCAACTGCTTTCCTCTTTAGAGACTCTGATCCTAATCATGAGAACTCTGACCTCCATACCTAATCCCCACCCAAACGCTCCACTTACTCATGCCACTTATTTAGGGATTAATATTTCAACATTGGGGGGGCGTGGTGCTGAGAGATAACTCAGGGCTAAGAGAACTTGCTATTCTTCCAGAGGACAAGAATTCAGTCTCCAGCACTCATAACTGTCTAGAACTCCAGCTCCAGGGGATCATATACCCTTTTCTGGACTCCACAGGATGTATACTCATGTGACATATACGCATACGTACACATAAAATTAAGATTTCCACATAGGTCTTTAAAGGAGGAGGCACATAAAATTTCAAATCAAAGGACTAACTAAACACTAGCATGTTATTAATAGTTGTTGAAGGAGAGTGACTAAAAGAGATGAAGTCTCAAATCAGATTAACACCAGCTTTTATTAGCCCCATATTTTATAAATTTAACACTAAAATTTGGGGACAGGAAATTTTTTCTTGGCTGTCCTGTGCATTGAAGGATGGTTAACAGCCTTCTTGACTTGTAAATACCTTTACTTATTAAATTCTTTTAGCATACCAATCCACCCTGTGTGAAACCCAAAATGTCTAGGGGACATTGCTAAATGTTTCCCGTGGGAATACAGGGAAGGGAAATTCCCCTCTCCTCAGTTGAGAGTGCAGTAGTAAGTTCACTTCCATTGCTTCTCTTTAAATTCTACTCTGGGAAACAGAAAGAAATTCCTGCTCTAGGGTACAGAAGACCTTATCACAGTCAAAGAAAATACACAGCTATAGGAACATTCTGGATATTACCTTGTACATGTTTATTTACACCAACCAGCTCCATTATTCTAACAAAGCACCAAGACAGCTTGCAAAACTATTTCTGCATGCATGCAGTACAGAAACGGCTGTAATTATTGTGGTGGTTGAACACGTCACAGACGGATAGCTTGCTTTCATTTGTCAGCAACCTTTGTGACACCAGGCTTCAGGTAGACAGTCAAGTCCCTCAGCTCCACGACCAGATGACCAAGGAGAACTTTAACATCCTGCATTTGTTTGAGAAGAAGCCGTATCTGGTGATGTAAGTGAGGGTCTGAGGAGGAGGCTCCCAGGTGCTCAGCTGAAGGAGCAGGTGGTGGGGGCAGAGTGCCGGGGGGCTCCACGGGAGGAGTTTCTGAAGCAGTTGGTTTCTGAAGAGCTGGATTCAAAATGGCGGAATCGACAGAATTTAAGAGACCTGAATTATTACGGGCAGGAAGTACACCACATACAAGTGAAATCTGGCAGGGCATGGTGGTGAAGACTTGTAATCCCAGTGCTCAGGAGGCAGAGGCTGAAGGAGCATTGCAAGTTAAAGGCCAGCCTGGTCAACATAGTGAGCTAGGGTCAGCCAGGGACACAAAATAAGACCTTGTCTTAAAATAATAAACACATGAATGAATAAAGATGATGTCCGACTGTGCCCTTACCCTCACACTGTTAGCTACTTAGTGAGGCAGGCACCTTCAGGGGCAAACTCCTATATGAATGTGCCTTCAAAGTGTTCTTTCTGTTACCTCAGCTAAAACTCTAGAATGCAAACTTAGTGTGCCCAGGGGTATTCCCATCTATCACTGTAATGTTTCAAGCCAATTTAGCTAAACATGTCCCAAAATGTGCTCACTATCTTTTCTTTTTTTTTTTTTTTTTTTTTTTTTTTGGTTTTTCGAGACAGGGTTTCCCTGTGGCTTTGGAGGCTGTCCTGGAACTCGCTCGGTAGACTAGGCTGGTCTCGAACTCACAGTGATCCTCCTGCCTCTGCCTCCCGAGTGCTGGGATTAAAGGTGTGCGCCACCAACGCCCGGCTCTCACTATCTTTTCTTAAATCGTGAGTTTAAACTGAGCATGCTCAGAATACACTGCTTAGCTGAGCATGTTTAAGAATGGGCCAACCCTTCCATGAGTAAAAACGTCTATGTTGAGTAAACCCCCTGTGCTTTCTTTGTTTGAGGAGGGCCTTGCTTTGGAAGTAACTCCTGTACTCTTCTTGCCCATCTTGCCCAACACTGATAAGCGATCTTTCTCCATTCTTGTATGCCTTGGCTAAGCTTGCTTTGCTATTGAACTCGACAAGATGTGAGCCCATGGTGTTTGGTTACAGAGCCAATCCTCCCTCTTTTCTGAAAGTGGGAGCCAGGCCTTGAGTACAATTCCGTCCTTCCTAATGTAAATTTTAGTCTCAGGCTTGACTGTCTCGACAGTCTCTGCTTGAGATGTTTTAGCGAGGAAGCCTGGTCATTAGACAGTCCTTTGATTCTCTCAAGCCAGAATTTAATTTCTGGAAGTACACTCTGGGGTCAACCTTTTCCAGTGTGTGTCATCAGACTAGCTCTTCATCTTTGTTTCAGTCTTCCCCTGAGCAGATCCCCTGAGGCACCCCTCTTCACGATGATGATCACTAGTCCCTCCCATTATTTTCATTTGGCATGTCATCAAGCTTTCTCATCAGCCAAGGTGACTCCTTCTAGGTGTGTGACAAGTACAGTCTTCCTAATGGTAACTTCCGGAATTTGACATACCATCTGTTCTTCCAAGAGGTTGTTTGTTTGTTTTGTTTGAGATGAGGCCTCACTATGCAGTCCAGTCCTGGCTGACGCTTTCTAGCCATTGTCTGCATTGTAGGTGTGATGCTCCCATAGGTGTTCAGATTACCTAGGAACCCTGAGATATATAGGGAGATAGATACACAAAGGGCAGGCCCAGGTCTTGGGTTTGGTATATCCCATGGTCTAAGGGAGACATTCTCTTTCTGTGCTCTCTTCCTTCACCAAGGACTTTGGATTATTGTCCTGTCTCTCCTGCATTCCCTCTTCATCTCCTTCCTCCAGGGCTCAGTTGAACCTAGTCTTGTTTCATATACACCCCACAGGCACACATACACATTAACTCACCCTGCACCTGGATCTCCAGCTGAGGGCTCTGCTTCCAAACATGCCTGTCCTCAGTAGCTGCCTCACACCAGTAGGAGCCAGAGTGCTCTTCTGAAGCCTTGGGGATTTGGAGTTCTGCAGAGACGCTTCTGATACTCAGTGACCTTCCATCCTTGTAGAAGGAGAAGAGGAGGCGGGAAGCTGACCTCTGCGGGGACAGCTTTGTCTGACAGTTTAGAGTCACTGAGTCTCCCTCTTGGGGCTCACTAGAAGGAAAGGCTTTAAGAATTGGGGCTGGGAACAGTTCTAGGGAAAAGACAAGCAGTAGGGAAGAGTTCAATCATCCTGTACTCAACAGACCCATAACTTCCTCTACCCATCCTTTCCTCTGGTTCCATTAGGTATGGGTTCTTTTAGAAAGATCCCATTTGAACTTTTCAGGTTCTTCTTCTTCTGTTCCCTTACTTCTTCCCTTCTCTCACTCCCTACCTTTCCCCCTCTTTCTCTCCCTCCTCTTTTCTCTTCCTACTTCCCTCCCTTCTAGGCAGGACTGGAAAAGATCCGTACATAAGCAAATCTGGCAGCAGTCCAGGTTGGGGATCTGTGATACCAGAAAGCATAGATCTGGATGGTTCTGGTCTCCCTATCCCTTCTCACCCACATCTACCACAGCAATACTCCCTCAAGCTCTCACCATGGACTGTGATAGCCACTGGGGATGCAGTCTCTCGGCTTCCAGGACCGAGGCTCCTGAAGACGCCACTACAGTGGTAGTTTCCACTGTCCGACTTTTGTACCACATCGATTGAGAACTCTCTTTTAGGTCCAGGAGGAGCCAGGGCTGAGTCCTCTTGGTAGAAGATGACCTGAGTCAGTGGCCAGTCTTGCCAGGCACGACACTGCAGAACCAGTGGGTCTCCTTCAAATATGGATGTATCTGGACCTTGGAGGATCAGCCAGTCTGTGGCCCAGAGTAAGAGCTGAGTGTCATTCACCTCCCTTGGGTGGTCCCAAGTAATGCCTGTAACAGAACCCCTAAGCTTTCCAGGTCACTTTCAACTCTTACTGGCCCACCTTAATGCTCTCTGTCCCCTTGAACCTACCTAACAATAGCAAAGCCTTTTTTTCCCTTTGTCCTCCCCCTCTACTCCTGCCCTCTAGTCTCAAAGTCTTGCTTTTAAAAAGACTCAACTTGGAGTTATGGATGGCTCACCACATGACCTCACCCTGCCCTGTGCCTTCACCATTGACCAATGTTGAGGGAGGAGCAAGCCTAGGGTAGGACTGAGGACATTCTGTCTCCTGGAAGCTAAGAATGAGAACTCAGTACCTCCACCTATGCCAGTTTCCTGAGAGCCATTTCCTGAGTGGGCTAGGGCGCTATCAGGAGTAGTTTGAGTCACTGCTCAGGCCTTGTTTGGACCTCACCATAGGAAATGATGAGATGGAAGGGTTTACTGAACTTGTAGCCCTTGGCCTGGAAGTCTTCATCACTGGAGTAGGTCACATCCTCCTCTTCCTCAGCGTGGCAGCTGCTCTGCTCAGTGCTGACAGGTCCTTCACACTTCAGAGTCTCCGAACTGGCAGCTGAGGAGGGATGGCCCAGGGAGAACCAGAGAAAGAGGCTAGGAACGGCCCTTCAGAAGGCCTCCTCCTCTGCCCCAGGGAACCATCTTGTCAGGGGAAGAGGAAGCTATCCAAGCCCCTCTAAGAGACTGCTTCGGCCTGATGGCCTTGACCTTGGCTCACTGGTGTTCGGCCCCTCAGTAAAAGGACTGTGGTTTAAGTAAGTGGTGGTTGGGGGGGTGAAGGAGCAGTGAACTCATCAGCATGACATCCAGCTGTTGGTTGAGGAAACCAAAGGACAGTGACAGCCATGACCCCACACAGGTGAGAGAAGGGAAAGATGCACATCAGAGTGTAGCATCCACTAGGTGCTTAGCGTGTATCACACACACATCCACGCACTATTTAATCTTCATGAGCCTTTCAAGTATGTGACTTCACCATCGTTTGGTAATTTTTTTTTGATGATGATGTTTTATGAGTTACGTAGCTGACGCTGACCTTGAACTTTCAACAATCTTCCTGCTTCAGCCTCCCAAGTACTAGATTACAGGTATAAGCTTCAATGCCAGGTTTCCCACCCTATAAATTTTAAAGAAGCAGTTCTACAAAATCAAATTTAAAAGAGTGTAAAGACTTGGGGGTTCACTGGGGAGATAGCTCGGTTGCACGTAGGGGGAGCAAACCCCAGTGCTGGAGAGTTAAAGCAGTTACTGGCCAACCAGCTAGCCTAGGCTACTAGGTGAGGCCTAGACCATTGAAGGACCTTGTCTAAAATAAAATATAATAAAATGGTAGATAGCACCTAGGAATGACACTTGAGGTTGTTCTCTGACCTACACTAACACATGCATCAACAAACATACAGACATGCATCGTACACATACACACATGTACATTTAAAAAGAAAGGAATGAAAGAAGGCAGGAAGGAAGGAAGGCAAGCAGGCAAGTCTGGCGGTAGAACATTTGTCTAGCCTGCATGAGGCCCTGGGTTTGATTCCCACATCACCCCAAGAGTCAAGAGTGGAGCAAGAATGCCAGGTGTGAGTTCAAAAGCAGTCTTTGTTTTTCTTCACTGCCCAAATATAGTCTACTTCAGTCCTTTGACCTTCCTTGGGGACATCCTGCACCCATCTTCATTTTCCCAAAACCCTCTTGGCTCTTTAGCTTAGAATATGTTGTCGACCAAAGAGACAGCTATGTCCCTCTTCTCTCCTTGTTTCCCTTTTCAAGTCTTGATTTTTTTCTCCTTTTGTTTTTCTTGGTTTTTCGAGGCAGGGTTTCTCTGTGTAGCTCTGGATGTCCTGGAACTCGCTCTATAGACCAGGCTGGCCTTGAACTCACAGACATCTGCCTACCTCTGCCTCTGGAATGCTGCGATTAAGGGCATGTGCCACCACCATCTGGCCAAATCTTCATTTTTCAATTATCTCTTACCTTACTGTCCTCTGCCCTTGAACTCCCCCCAGCAATGGCAATGCTTTCTCCATCCTCTCCTCTCCAGCAACCTTGTCAGGCTGTTCTTGTAACCATGGAACAATTCTTTGCCTCCAGGGTGAAACTTAGAGAGTCCTCCCCACATCTCTTCAGTCTCTCTCTTAGGTCCATAACTGACCCAGGGTAGGCAAGTGTCACCTCTCCCAGCTCTGACTGCTCTTTGTACCCCTTAGTCCCTCTCTTCCTTCCCCAGCTCCCTATTCATACGCACTTATTTGTCCAGGCCACTCTTCCTGTCCCCGGCACCTTGGTTCTCCTCCACTTCCAGGGTCACTGGACTCTTTCTGAGCTATTAACTTCCTCATCAAGTCTGCTTCCTAGTTCTCGTTGTTTCAGTAACCAGAGTTTTCTTTATTGCCTCTCAGCCCTCTTCTCTATGATGCTACCTTTTTTCAGTTCCTTCACTGTCATAAGACTGCACTCAGCCCCCTCTTGTTTTCTCTTTAAAAAAAATAAAACTTCAGGGCTGGAGAGTTGGGTCAGCTGTAAAAATACTTGTTGCTCTTGTAGAACCCATGTTTGGTTCCTGGCCTCCACGTGACGGCACACAACCATTCATAACCACAGTGGCAGGGGATCTAACACCCTTTTCTGACCTTTGCAGGCATCAGATAGGCATACATGCTGGCAAAACAGTCAGACATAAAGGTAATTAATTAAAAAATTAAAGTCTTCTTGGCATAGCTGGCATCTCTCTACTCGATAAAGCTTATGTGTTTCTGTGGGGTATTATCATTTTCATTTTTACAGCAGGGAAAAGTGAATTCAGGTATATTAAAAGTGATTTTTTGTTGCTTGTTTGTTTGTTTTGTTTTGACACTGGGTTTCTCTGTAGCTTTGGAGCCTGTCCTGGAACTCATTCTGTAGACCAGACTGACTTCAAACTCACAGAGATCCGCCTATCTCTGCCTCCCAAGAGCTGGGATTACAGATGTGTGCCACCACTGCCCAGCTGTGATTTTTTAAACAGGATTTTGCATCCAGACCACCCCTGGAGGATCTGTTATTTGCAATGTAACTCGGGCTGACCATGAACTGGAAGCAATCCTGAAGCTTAGTCCCGACATTACAGGTATATGCCTCTATGCTCAACTGCAAGTGAATTTTTCAGAGTGATACAGAGCTAGTAACTAGAAAAGGGGCTTGAAATCAAAGTATGTGGTTCCAAGACCACAGTTCTTGCTATAAAATCAAAATTGCTGGGCCTCCCAAAAGTAGCTCTTGGTGTAGAGGAATACCAAGCATATGAAAGGGTTGTTGTAGTGTGTGGATCAAGCAATAAGAATAAAGTGTCACAGGCAGACACGGGGGCAGGAAGGGGGCTCAACAAGGTTTCTTGAGGGAAGATGCTACCAAAGTTGAGGTTTTTTTTTGTTTTTTGTTTTTTTTGTTTTTTGTTTTTCGAGACAGGGTTTCTGTGTGGCTTTGGAGGCTGTCCTGGAACTAGCTCTTGTAGACCAGGCTGGCCTTGAACTCACAGAGATCCGCCTGCCTCTGCCTCCCAAGTGCTGGGATTAAAGGCGTGCGCCACCAACGCCCGGCCAAAGTTGAGTTTTTAAGGATACCTAGAGGTTTGTAAAAGGAAGGGAACTGGGGAACCATGACAGAGTTCATTTCAGATGGAGCTAACAACATAAGCAAAGCCTTAGGAGCAGACAAGACTCTGGACTGTGAATGGAAATGTGGGTTGATTGAGCTTTGGTTAGAGTAGGAGTGGGAAGGCTTTGGGGGTGGTGGAAGAAGGGACTGAAGAGGTTTAGTAGATGCAGGTTTGGAGCTTTGTGTGCCATGACAAAGGCTTGAATTGTAGAAGTCATTCTGGATGCAGAGTGAAAAGGTTAAGAGCATTGGCTGCTCTTCCAGAGGTACCTGAGTTCAATTCCCAGCAACCACATGGGTGGCTCACAACTGTCTATAATGAGATATGCCATCTTCTGGTGTGTGCATTCTTAATAGATAAATGGTTTTTAAAAAGAAAAATTCATTTTAAAGAGACAAGGCTGAGACATGATTAGTAAGGAAGTCATTGCACAACTTCAGTCATGGATGATAAAGTCTTGTCTGAAGAAAGCATTTGCAGTGGTTCAGGGAAGGAACTGGTGGTGAAACCAATTTAGGAGGTGAATTTTTCCGAAGTTGATGATTTGGAGAATGATGAAGGAAGACTTCAGAATTCTTCTTGGGTTTCTAGGCCCAGGTCCCAGGTGAGTGCTAGTGCAAGGAACTAGTCAAGGCTCCAGGTGAGTGCTAGTGCAAGGAATTAGTCAAGGCTCCAGGTCAGTGCTAGTGCAAGGAACTGAGATCAGATAGAGTCAAAGGTGAGTAAAAAGAAGGAAGGGTCTGGAGGGCAGATGAGTTCATCTCTGATCCTGTTGTGCTGGTGCCTGTGACACACGCAGAGGTCAAAATGTCTTGTGTAAACCTCAACATTTGAATGTGAAAGTCAAAAGCATGATTGGAGCTGGAAATGTGCCCTGAGGCTCTAAAATAGACAACTGCTGCAGAAAAACCATGCAGATCCATTTCCACAGTCTCATTAGAAGACCATGTAAAAAAGAAGAGCACAGGAGTAAGGATCACACTGTAAAGAACAGAGTTTACAGGAGGGGGAGAAAAACTACCCAAGGACCAAAAGACATCCAACACTAGGCAGAGAATATAAGCAATCAGCAGGACCAGGTTCAACAGAGAAATCCATCCGGATAAAATCTGAAAAGCGTACAATGACCTCGTTAGTGCAAAGGTCACTGCACCGTAGGTAAGCAGTCTCTAGAGGAAGCCATGCTGCACGTACTGAAGGGTTAGTGAACGTGAGGGGGAGGCCGCAAGCCCACATGACTCTTCCAAGAAAGTTGTGCTAGAAAAGCAAGAGATAAGCTGGCAAAGGATTCATAGTCAGAAGGGACTTTCAGGTGGAAAATATCTGAATTTTCTATTTAAAAAGAATCATTCAGTCCCATGCACCAGATTTGTCTTCTATCTGTCCTTGCTCCACCTGAACAGAGATTCTTTGCAAATCCAAAGTCAGTTCATGTTTCTTACCTTTGGGAGTTTTTTTTCCCCCCTCAACATCAGGCGTATCTCATTTCCACACCAACATCCAAACATTTACTTACCCAACAACATCTGGGCTGCCAGGAGCACAGCAGGGCAAACATAAGGAGCCCATGCCATGAGGACACAGCTCAGCTTCATGGTGCTTGTGTTTGTACCTCCCACAGCCCCAACATACTGATCTTCAACATGAAACCTCTCAAATTAGAAAAGAGGAAATAAATGTAACTGTCTTGTCTCCACACACCTGTGGCCAAGTCTGTGATTGGCTCCAATCACAGACTTGGCCAGGTTGGTTCTGACGCCATCTTCATTCTTGCAGTTGTAGATGAAATGCTAGAACTCTCAATTGTAACAATTAATTTTTTCTCATGGAGCTGAGGAACCTTTCAAAATGTGTTATTTTTTTGGTTTTTTCGAGACAGGGTTTCTCTGTAAATGTGTTATTGATTGATGATCAACCAGTCTTCATATGACATCTGGAAAAGGCTGACCTGACAACAATCCAGCTCACTGGAGACAGGAGATAGAAATTAATGGAAGGAAACCACTGGGGTGTGAATGATGTGGGGAGGTCCTGCTCCAAGCTTTTCATCTGTCCAGTAATTAAAACACAGCAGGAGAGAGGGGATTGATGGGTGAGGGCAGGTGTCAAATAAGTCCCTACTGGGCTCAACCCACCTAAAGCCCGATCAAACTTGCACCCAAATTTCTCCTGACCTGTGTCTTAACTTTGTTTCTGCAGCATAATATAGACGGTTTGGTCTCAGTGGAAATCTAGTTACAAGGCAGAGTTACTATTCTGGGAAATCCATTCCCCAGCCCCAGCCTCAAGCCCAACACTCAGGGACCCGGCCAAAGCTCAAAGCACTGGTTCTGAGGAACTTGAAGACAAGAAGTATGCAGTCTTTGAACAACTGGAAGAGACTGGGGAACATGGGTGGTTCGGAGACCACATCATTTCCCTTCATCTCCCTGTGGACTTATGGGAATCACTGCCCCTGACTTCACCTGTTTGCTCAATTGCAGGACCTGTGACTTTCTGCACAGTGACCATACTCCCCTACCCTCACTTGTCACGCCACCCACACCCAGGTCCCAGGTAGATTTGAAAGTGAGCTGTGTCATCAGAAATGTGGGTCTTGAAGGCAGAGGGTGGGATTCATGGTCAGTCAGTTATGGCAAAACAGATCAGGGCAGGCAGGTCAGCAATGTGGGCTCCGGAAAGTGCAGTTTTCCCTCCATCTAGTAGAAGCAGTTAGACTAAATTTTCCATTATGTAAGAAGTATATGTTTTTTTGTTTCAGATGGCCCCAGGGAGTCCAGAGCAGGTTGAACATGGGTGTGGGGGAGGCAGTGAGGCAGTAAGTCTTGCAGCTGATGTGGCAGAGACTCAACAGCCTCAGAAGAGGAAGAACAATCTAGCCAGCCCCAAGAAAAGTCAAATTAATAAACCGTGTTTAGATGGACTTTCACCCCTAAAACTGCATATCAAACCTTCTCATTTTACAGGACAAAAATGGCTTTTGGAAGACTATGATGATTTTTCCCTTACTTTAAAACCCCTTGATAAAGTCGGGCGGTAGTGACATAGGCCTTTGGCAGGCAGAAGCAGGTGGATCTCTGGGTCTACAGAGTGAGTTCCAGGACAGTCAGGACTGTTTCACAGAAAAACCCTGTCTCACAAACAAACAAACAAAAGAAACCCTTGATAAATATTCCCTGTGCCATGGACACTGGTCTTGACAGAACACTATCTTAATACAGAAAGCAAGAAGGCCTCTGAAGGTATCACTTGAAGATCATGCTCTTTACACTTGGGATAATTATCCAATTAGCCATGGGACAGTTAACATAGCTGAAGCTTGATCAATGAACTATTCTGGGTAAGTGTGAAATCCCCAGGTCAAGAAACTCAAAGAAGTAAGATTAGGACAGCTACATGCTGGGAAAACAAACTCAGTTCATGGAGTTAGGTCTGCTATCCAGATCACCCAAGACTACTCACAAAGACATGGGACAAATCCCAGCTCTCATCCATCCCAAGGCCAATTAGTCGTTTGCGGCCTTCCTCAGTTGTTCTTGGCTTATCACCGGTGGACCAACATATCTATTTTAGCAAGGTTCTTTTTTGTTTGTTTTCATTCATGTATATGTGTGTATACCTGCTTGTCTGTGTGTGCACCAAGTTGTTGTGAGGAGGCCATGTGACTGCTGGAAATCGTACTCTTGTCCTCTGCAAGAGCAAGTGCTCTTAACCTTTCAGTTATTTCTCCTGTGGGGGGCCGGGGG